TTTTCTTACATATTACAAGATATTCCTTTGTTCCACGGATAGCAAATGCTAATCGAGGCGGGTCAAATTTGTTTATTTGTTGTTTTTTTTTTACTGACTTAATTTAATCACACTGGAAATAAAACGGAAATGAAGAAATATAACATAACAGGACAAAAAGATACGCAAAAAAAAAAAAAAGAAAAAAAGGAAAATGGCAGATGTTCATTGTAAAGGAGAAAAAGTCCTAGCGTTTCTAAGTGTACGAAAAATATTGTAGAGCTGGTTTAATTTGATTGAATTTTGCTGTGTTTGAATTTTAGCATTATCTCATCAGGCTCCATATAAGAATCTTCAGTTTCTAGAATATTGAGAAGAGCTCTTTTTGTTTCTTTTTTAAAGGATTTCTTTGACAAATTTTTGTATTCATTAGGCATCTCATTCCAGACTTTGAAACCAACACGCGAAAAGACTTTTTTTTGCATTTTAAGCCTAGAGTACTTAACGCTAAGGAATTGTGACGTTGATGAGCGAGTATTATATGTATGGATGTTTGAAGTTCTCGTAAAAAGTTTCGTGATGTTAGAATTCGAAGGTGCACCGTCGTTATGAACATCAAACATTAATTTACATACAGCTTCATAATATATGGAGGTAATAGGCAGAATTTTCGCATTTAAAGATAAGGGGATTGCATGTTCTTAATTTTCTATCAACAAAGTAGATTAGATGTAATACTCGCTTTTGGAGAACAACAATATTGTTTAGATAGTTTTTTGACGCATTACCCCAGGCAACGAGTCCATAAGTTAAATAAGGTAAAATTGAGGATTTATAAATATTTTTGAGTACAGATGATGGAACAAAGTGTCTCAGCTTAGCAATCATTCCTATGGTCTTACTTATTTTAGTGATAACACAGTCCAAATGGTTTTTCCAAGAAAGATTTTCATCGATCAAAACACCTAAATACTTGATATAACTCTTATGTTCCAAGCTGACTCTTCTATTTTTTTTCACTATCAAATGTACTTATTTGAGGAAGATAACAGATTTTCCTTTTGTTTAGGGCGAAAAATTACAAGATTTGATTTTTTTGTATTCAAATTCAATTTATTTGTAGTTAGCCAGTCATGTAAATTTTTCGTCTATTCTCGAGACTTGAGGTCCCTGTCAGCATAGAGAATATTAGTGTCATCCGCAAATAAGAAAAAGTGAAGTTTATTGGAACAGAGGTGAATGTCATTTATATAAAGTAAAAAGAGAAGTTCATAAAAATCCATAAAAATTAAGTTTATCAAGTAGTATTTTGTGATTTATGGTGTCAAAAGCCTTTTTTAGGTCAATGAAAACACCACACGAGAAATATTGCTTATCCATATTGTTCTGTAAAGTTTCGACAATATCAAGGATCGCATGATCTGAGGAGTGTGCCTTACGGAAGCCATACTGTGAGGAATGTATTAACTTATTTTTGTCAATAAAGTCCTTTATTCTGCAATACAGTAGCTTTTCGAATATTCTGTTAAAACTTGACAAGAGAGAAATTGGTCGGTAATTAGAAGCATTGGTTTTGCTTTAACCGTTTCATGAATTTTTTTTTACCTCTTTTCTTCCTTTGACGTTTCTTATGTATTATCCATTTCAAGCTAGTCATCCTTCGATAGGCAATGCAAGTTAGGAGGAGATAAACGTTTTCTCAGTATGTCTACGTGCCGAACTCTGACTATCGTAAACTGCAGTTAAGTTCTCTTTGTCGGGAATAAAATGAAGAAACAGGCTGGTAAGTGTTTGAAGATCCGTGCTGGAACACATCTTCGACATCAGCTTAACTTTCCGTAATCATGCGAATGTCATGTATCGGTAATCGTCCGAAATCGTATGCAACGAACTCATTCAAAATTGTACAGAGCCCCATGATATTAAAACAAGAGATAAAATAACTCCAATACCATACACCTCTTGACTAGAAGTAAGATTCAAAACATGGAATAAAAGGAAATATGTTGTTCTTGACGCTTGAAATGTTGATTTTGTATGCGATGCCGACGTTGTTTGTTCAGGTCAAGTAAAGTTTTCAGTTAGCATCAACTTCACGATTTGTCATGGCTTAACCAGATACATCTGGTTCAAGTGGATTACTGTGTGTGTGTTTGTAAACTAAATAAAGTGGTTAAGTTCCCTATTGCGGTCAAGAGCTCCTGACACCCTTCAAGCCCTTCCTATTGGTCATTAGAAGGGAGGACATTTTGGTAAAGGTACCCTCTTCTTACTTGTGGTCCAGGTTATACGAAACTTTACACCTCCTTTCTCTCAGACAATGATTTCGTAATTATAAATTTCGGACGACAATCAGAAATGTAAGTGATAAATATGCTGATTACCCTTGCGTCAATCCCGCTTTAAAATGGAAGATGGTTAATTACATAAGTACATCGGTTACTTTAACGAAGGAGGTTTGCATATTTGGTCAGAAATAATCTGCAAGAAAGATATCAAGTCTGCCGACCACTTCCCCTCTTTGCTTCTGTAAGGCATAACTCTCTGATACAAATCGACCCGTTTTCTTAATCATGGTACTCTTAGGCCATCATCTCAGTAAGTTGCAAATTTATTCAGTTAAAGTCTCGAACGCCTTTTTATCCTTGCATGAACTGAAAGAGCTTTTTAATGATAATGCAAATTTTGTTATTATAAAAGGACTCCTATCTTCTTTATTGAGGGATTCATAGGAGCCAAAAAAACCAAATAAGATTCCCCAATCTAAAAGAGATAATTTGTACACCAAAATTATCCAATAGAAAATATAGGTCACCGTTCCCATTCAAGAGCTAAAGACCATCGAGCCTTTTAACCTGTTCCATGGATTAACATTCAATAAGCGCGCTTATTCGCTCAAATAATTACGTGATATTTATATGCAGTAAAAGATGTGCAATGCAATACTGAGGAATCATATTAAAGAGCTTCTGCAAACGAAGTCGTCCGCCATTACAACATATGCTAATATTCCTTGTGTAGATCGCTTTTGTCAGTTCTTTGTTAGACTTGTTTCTTTTATTCTTGACCGGAAACGCTCGATTGCACTCTCAGTAACACAGAGTTCCTCACCCTTCCCCCCAGCCTGGTATTTTAAAACTCAATACACCGACAATTCATGCTAATTAAGTATGTAGTTTCGAGATGGTCGAGCGGCAATCGTAGGCGCGCAACGAGTGCAAGAGAGGTCATCGAGGTCGCGGGTTCGAATCACGCTATATGAGTTATTCTCAATCTGGCTTGGGGGCCGAATAACTTCTCCCCGAGTATGATTTAGAGCTGGCGGACAAGGAGTAACTCTCGAACTGGCTTGGGGGCCGAGGAACTCCTCCCCGCGGAACCTGCATGTTGTTTTTTTCTACTTTTTCTCCTTAGTATCATCATTTTTATCTTCTTTTTGCCCTTTTTTTGTTTACCAAAACTTGAAACAGAATGCTTTTTTTTTTGTTTGCTTTTTATGAGTTTTGTCTTTTTTAGTTCCTTTAAATTATTTTTGAACTATTACCTCGTGCCCGTTATCTCTCTTTTTTTAAATTATTGGATAGACATAAACTTCGTCACTGCGCGCGGATCTTCCGCAAAATTTTTCCAAGATGGCATGGTAGCATTCTCAGTTCTGGATAAAGCAGGCAGAGATGGGGTTTTACCAAATATAAGTTATCAACAGGTGATACCATATGGAAGCTGGCTTATATTTAAATTTAGCCGGGGTACTTATATGCTAATGTGAAATGTTCTGTAATTTCCGTGAAGCTTGTGTGGATTCCATAGCCCAAGATACGTATCCGCTGAATACCTTTACACTCCCCCCGCTGGAGCTGCGACAAAAATGGCGACAGGGGTGGAGTTAAAGTTGGTAGAATCTTCGTTCATATATAACCTTTAACGATCGAATAATTTATATGTGGAATTTGCTATATTTCGTTTTGGTGGGATAGTCTCCCTCGAATTTTTGAAAATTTCGCGGGATGTACTTTTTCAGCAAATTTCAACAACACTTTCTACAGTAGGTACAACTAGCTTACATGTTGTAGACAGTGTAGATAGCTGTACCTATTGTAGACAGTGTAGATAGTTTTAACTATTGTAGATTGTGTGTAGATAGTTTTACCGATTGTAGACAGTGTAGATAGCTGTACCTACTGTTGACAGTGTAGACAGCTGTATCCACTGTAGACAGTGTGGATAGTTGTACCTATTGTACACAGTGTAGAGAGCTGTATCTACTGTGGACAGTGTAGATACTTGTACCTACTATTGACAATGTAGATAGTTGTACCTACTATTGACAGCGAAGATAGTTGTACCTATTATAGACAGCGTAGATAGTTGTACCTGCAGCAGACAGTGTAGATAGTTGCACCTACTGTAGACAGTGTAGATAGCTGTACCTACTGTAGACAGCATAGACAGCCGTACCTACTTTAGGCAGTGTAGATAGCTGTACCTACTGCAGACAGTGTAGATGAATGTACCTATTGTAGACCATGCAGTAGATACCCTAATTTTCTATGCATTCATATGTTGCATAATACAGATAATATTAAAAATTCGCGTATAGCATCATTTCCGAGAGTTCAACGGCACTCTACGATGTATTTCGTTTGCACGTATTTTCACTAAAATTACCATTCAGTTGAATATCTGATACTCGACAAATACCGGCATCAAAGAGCCTATTCTTTTTTAGTCCAGGCTGATGTGTTCCTTATATATCAGGTTTCTTGAGTAATCAGCTCGATGCTGTTCTTGAGGGGATTTTTTTCAGGAAATAATTTTTCAGTTCGATTTTTCACTTATTTTTTTTTAATTTTACAAAGTTTTTCAACGTATTCTTTGCTTACTGTATGTGTGGTTTCAGGAAATTTCTTTACCCTTCCATTCGATGCTTCAGCTTAGATCGTCTCCCCTTGAAATGCCAGATTTTCTCTAAAAATTCCAATCCCTTCTGTGCCGTGTTGTTCATAGTCTAACACTCTTACTTTGATATTCACATTTTATTAAATAGGAACCTGTTCAATTTCTTCAGGTGGTACTGACAATCTTTATTAGTTTGATGTTTTATTTATCAAATTTCAGCCTGAAGGTTTTTTAATCCATTTGTTCCGTTATGCAGGTGTTTAATTGCAATATTTTTAGAGGGTCTTGGGGTTAACCGTTAGCCGTGAAACGGTAAAACATAATCAGTCGTCAGGCGTAAAAACTGACAAATTTTAACCGTTGGTCGTAAAAAAAGTAAACCGTAGAAGTTTTTCTCTTAAAAACAAAGGAAAAAAAATTAACCTATGACTATAAAATGGCCAAGATTTTAACCGTTTGCAGTAAAAGCTATTATATCATTGAGATCCTTTGCTTAAGAGATACTTTTTGGTTTAGACTACATACGGATCCACAGTTCCTGATATCATCAGTTCGGGAATTCCATAAAAGTGGTGCAGCAACAGAAAATGTTCTTCTTCCTTCTCGCTTAAGATTGCATATAGTTCTTAACAATTCAGTTTTAAAAGTGGTGCGGCAACAGAAAATGTTCTTCTTCCTTCTCGCTTAAGACCGTATATAGTTCTTAGCAATTCATTTTTAAAAGTAAGACCGTGAAAGCGGCGCGCTCTCGAACGACAATGGAGAACTAAAGCAGAGACAGTTTTGGGCCGCAGACAGCAACCGGAAAAGAAAAAAATAAATTCTAGTGCGCTTTGACACCAATATTGTATCGGCCGTTAAGTCTTCGTTATAGCATTTTAAACCAAATTGTGCTGACCAAAAAGGTGTAATGAGCACCATGAATGAGTTTTTTAACTTCCGGCTGCCGTTCGCGTCTCAAAAACATTTGTAAGTAATGATTGGCAAAGTAAGTTCAAATATTCTACATTTACTAAAATAGCATACGATGATTGTTTTATTGTGTGTAGAGTTGGTACCGTGAGTAACATAAAAGAACATAAACATAAAAATCAGCCATCGCTATTGGTTTATTTTTTGGCGGAAGAATTAAAATAATCTTGTTTCGGTCTTTCCCGGTCACCCTCATCTTTTTTCCTAGATTTTTCTTTTTTTATCCTTTTTTCTTTTCTTCTTCTCGTTTTTCATTCTTTCGACAGTTTCTAGACTATTACCGACATCTTGGTTCTTCTTCTTCTTCTTCTTCTTCTTTCGTAAGTTGCCTTCATCGTTTGCTTCCTCCACTTCGGAAATTGTCTCATTAAAAGATTTCTCGTCGCTAAAGCTACCTTTTGTCTTGTCCCTTCTTCGTTTACTCTCGGACGACTTTTCCAAGTCTTCATTTTCCAATCTAGCAATCCCCTTCTCGCTCTTTCTCTTAGATGTTTTCTTTTTATCTTTCACCCCTTCAGCTATTTCCAGCCTTCCCAAAGAGCTGCTGTCAACCTCTAAAGTCTGACTATTAATTTCTTTTGCTTTCTTCTTTTTTCCTTTTTCTTCCGTCCTATCCTTCGAGGGTTTGCATCCGTTTTCTAATCCAGATTTCGTTTCTTCCACCGCACCGTTTCTCTTTCTCTTTCCAGCTGAACATTTCACATCAAAAGAATGCGAAACACTAACGCCATTGACCAATTCCTCATTTTCAATCGCATGTTTAAGCTTTCTTTTACTTTCTTTCTTCTTCTTCCTCTTCGGTTCTGATTCGTCAACTTCCTCGTTGTAATCTTTTCCTGTTACTATTTCTTCTTGAATAGCGCTAACCTCCACTGTCTGCCTCCTTTCTCGAGCCGCTTTCATCTCCCTCATTTTCATCTCAAAGTATTCCTGAACGCTTTGTCCGGAGTTTATAGTCTGCACACCGTGAGAAGATGGCGGCGGACAGGAAGCAGTACTCTCGTCCGATTCTTCGTCCTACATTGGAAGAAAAGTAGCTTTGTAAAAAAAGCTTGTTTCAACATTTTTTAAGTATTTTGGTATTCAATAACAAAACAAAGCAACCGGTACGGTACATTTCGGTTAGTCAGAACAAGGGCTATCGAAACAAAATACCCCCAAAACTTCGATAAAGATGTTTGAACCAACCTCTGACTGTTCTTGAGGAGTTCCAGGAGCTGACTTACTCCTCTGACCAAAGATGCAAGCCATGTCTTCTGCTGATTTAGATGACAAGTCTTTGCTCTGAATGAAGCGATTGTAACTATGAATACAAAACAGCCAATCAGTCATTAAACTTATACACATAAATGGTCCAGAAATAACATTGTCTTGGGTAACAAAGCCCAGGAAAAATGCAACTTCTAACCAAGGATGCTTAACTTCTGTACCAAGTCTAAAAGAACCTCTTACACTAATTCTGTAAGGTAATCTTTCCTGGCCTAACCTCTCACATTCCATATTTCCAACAAAGCACAATTCAATTTCACATCCTCATGTCAATGTTGGGAAGCATGGTGGTACACATGTTACAAGATGAAAGCCAACTTAAAGTTTTTCTGTCTAAAACAAATTCAATTTATGTAGAACATTCAAGGCACATAGCCACCTAACAGTTGGCATGCTGAGCTACCAGTCAACAGGTGATGTGCTTAAAGCCTCAACCAAGTCATTTGGTTGTTAGGCAAGACTTGCATCTCTCTTCTCAAGAGGAAAAATCCATATCGCCAAAATTTAGTGGAAAACTGACATACATGTAATGATTGAGGGTAACCTGAAATGGACCAGTATCCCATCCAAGCTCCAACTATGAAAGGCCCCTGAACTCATAAGCTGAGATAATCCTTAACTTCTAAGAGTGACTAGCATAAGTGTATGGCAGCTTAGAAAGTTTGCACAGGATTCATACCTAACTTATAAAAAAATTATAGTAACAAGAGACTTTTTATCACTAAAAAGTGATTTTAGTGAGGTCCTCTAAGAATAAGGAACAGCACTTACAACACTCTTTTTCGGGACTGTCTTGCTTTCTTTTCCATTTCATGACTCTTTGCTTTCTTCACTGACTTTTCCTCTGTAACACACAGATGAAAGACAAACTACATCTCAAAACTCTAATTACATACCAAGAAAATAATGGAAACATAAAAGTTTTTTGAAGAACCCATAGCAGTAATGATAGATACTCAAATGCATATGTAACACTGTTGGTTATCTCACCGTTATCGTTTTCTGTGTGATTATTAAGCTGAGATAGCAAATCATCAAATGCTACCTGGTGTGATATCCAGTTATCTTCATGAGACTTCTCAGCCCCTAGACCTGAATATTATGAACAACATAACAGTTGGTTAAGTCTAATAAGCATTTTCTTCACTGAAATTCAGATAAATGCTCTAACTCTTGTATACATGCAAATGAACTTTAAATCCTCATGACGAGAATGATACCCAGGGATAAATGTCTGCTACACTGTTGTAAAGCTTAAAGGGGGTAAGTTTCTGATGAAACTGTGGCTCTGCATAGATGGGGGGTATTACAAGATTATTTGGTTGAATTAACCAAGTTGATAATTTAAAAAAAAAAAAATTCATACACCCTTCAAGGGGCATGCCACCATAGTTAGTGGAGTTGACTGTTTAGTAAAGTCAATAAAAATCAAAGATGAAAACATTAATATGGTGTAGTTTTAGATAAAGACTTCCAGAATCTTTCATTTTTGTTTCACGCATAGATACTAAAAACATCATAAAAGAGTATCAGTTAGTCAGCAAGTTAAACATGACTGAGAAGGCTATTTGATAGCGGCAATACTGTTACTTCCAGTATTGGAGCAAATGAAGTTGTGACTGCAGAAAAGATCAATCTTACCAAGTTTAACTTAATATTTAGTGTTCTCAAAAAGCTTTTGTATATCCTTTCTTTCCAAAGGTTTACATCTTACAACAACAGATTTAATCAAGAAATGCTTGCAATCTTTATCACTAATGTCAACAATATTTTGCTTTCTTACCTAAGTTCTGCTGCCTCTTGACAGATTTAACATGTGTTTTAGTTCCATCCTCCTTAGCACCCAGTCCTTTTCCACTCTCCCATCCCATTTTAGTCAACATCTGGTAACCAAACCGTCTGGTATCTGATCAAAATAGTTTAAACAATTAAAATTCTGATAATCTCTCTCCTTCTTAAAATATATCATTGTCTCATATTACAAACCTTACAAATAATATAGCCATTCTGAAGAAAAGGTTGAATCCTTGGAAACTCCCTATACTCTGCCGTCAACCTTGCTATGGATCTCTTCAAGTATGTAATATCTAACCATAGTTAGTAGAGGGGGGACCCCCTCTACTAACTATGATCTAACATGTTACATAAACTTGGAGTTATCATGAAACTCCAAGCAAAAGCTCCATCCAAAACAATCATCAACACTGAATTATATTCTTCCATCGACCAATCATGAGAAACGGTAAACGGTAAGCTTTGGCAATAGGATGGTAACCAAAAGAATCGGCCGGTTAAAAGTGGATCCATTTTCAGACTTCCCAATGGCTCAGATATGAACGGCAATCTATCAATTGACCTAAACAATTTCAAATAATAATAAAAAAGCCAGGGGGAGACTTTTGACAAATAAATAGTTCCTTACCATTGGTCCATGCTGTATTTCGTGGATCGCTGCTCCATTTTTGCTTGGATTTCGGCTCTGCGAGCATCGCCATGTTGATTACTTGACCCACGTGTGACGCAACTTTCTAAAGCGAGCCAGCATTTTATTCAACAGCGGCAACTTGGCGAAATTTATGCGTAGCTTTACAACGCGCAAACGTGGAGGACGCTCTGTACCAAAATGCCGAAGTAAGTAGAGCCGATTTCCAGCTTAAAAATAACGTTGTATTTCATTTCTTTTAGTCTATTTCATGACAAATTCTTGCTTCATGATTCAATTTCATAATGGTTCTTTCCGTTCTAGGTATTATTGTGATTACTGCGATACTTACTTAACACATGACTCGGTAAGTCTTTATTTATTTATTTAGATTTCGTTTGAGATACGACGCTTATTGTAGCCAGCTCCGCATTGCTCTTCTCTCCAGCACTCTGACATTTTGCTTTTTTTTTGTCTGCACAAATAATTCATGTCTCTTTGGGAATTTACCATAACTTTGGACTTCTTTCATTAGCATCTTAAATCTCTCCCTTTGTTCCTTGATACTTATTTGCTTCCTACACTTGCATTGTCTCTTACTCTTCTTGGGTAACAGGTTAAATTTCTCTCCATTAGGTAAACTTGTCTAAGTTTTAGGTTAAAGTGTCTATAATTATGTATCCCGTGTTACTAGACATAATAAAACTCCTCAATTTAATTCCACAGGTCAGTTCTGTACTGACCAATTGCAATTTAAGTCATTACATGGCCACAAATTTCACAATGGCAAATTTATTACTGATGCTTTTTGTGATTTACTTTTCAAGCCTACATTGGCTTTTTCCCAAAAAATGTAGACTTTCCATAAATATCCTAAGTATTTACGGTTTTGTTAGTCTCATAGTAATACATTGGCTGTTTGATAATTGATTGGTGTAATTACTCTTCCCTCTAATTATTGAGTACCTTCCTGGAATTACAACACCTAGACAGCTTCCTTTCCTTACCTATGCTAACAAACTTGGTTTTATTGTTTCTCTAACTCCCAGCCGTCAGTTCGGAAGACACACAATGGTGGCCGAAAACACAAGGAAAATGTGAGGTTTTACTACACAAAGTGGATGGAAGAACAGGCACAGAGTTTGATTGATCAGACAAGTATGCATTTCACATTAACATCTATTTACTTAAGAGACAACTATTTTTCACAAAAACTTCTCTTTGCACGTTTCTGCTACTCTCAAGTCAAGGGAATTGAATTATAATTTGATTAAGCACTAATTACATTAAAAAAACTCACTGAAATACACCAAAAGTTGGTATGAAATTAATTTGTATTGAAACTTTAAGACTCCATTAGTGAGAAAGCTTCAAAACCCTGTTATCATCACCTACCTTTTGAACTTGTTCCCTTAAGAAGAAACAAGTGAGACTTATTTTCTAAAATGCACACAAATTATGATACTGTCCCTCTTAGGACAGGCTTTACAAACTGAATTGACTTGAGAAGGAAATTTTTTGCTTTAAGGTACATGCAGTGTTGTGCAGTCTCTTTACCGGTGCCTAAGAAACATTTTGTCACGATAACATCGCATGGTTTCATTCTTCATTTTTAGCTGCTGCTTATCAAGCTGGTACTGCCATTCCACCCCCACAAGTTGCACACTTACCACCCCCTGGAATGATGCCACCTCCTCCCCCTGGAATGATGCCACCACCAGGAGCCTTACCACCCCCTGGAGCTTTACCATTTCCAATGCCACCCCCTGGGGCAATGCCACCACCAGCAGGTATTAGACCACCACCTGGGGGACCACCCCACGGGGCACCACCAGGAAGAATGCCAGCGCCACCAGGAGGAGGGAATCAGCCAAGGCCAGTTGTAGGAAAATCTTAATGACAATTCTGTTTAGGGAATAAATTTTTATTTACTTTGTTATTGACTAGTTATGCAATGAACTTTATCAAAAGAGGTTGTCCAGACAATTCAGATGAAGACTTGTTTTGCAAGGGAGACATTTTGACATTAAGACATTGACATTAACTTAAAGTGTATAGAGGTGAACCCGTTGAAGGAACCGAACAAAATGTTTTTCCTGAGTCTCTAAGACATGAATTCGCAAAGGTGTGCATTAAATTTATATTTTTAAGTTTACATCTGAACTCTCTCTAAGAATAGCTTTCCTTCTGATGTAAGCCTGAGCAAAAAAAAAACTGTATACATGGACAGCAAGGTGCTCTTGCTTGGAACTTTAGCTTGAGACACCAATACCATCTAGATGAAACAGTATGTCCTTGCTTATACTGAGAAACCAGCCCTAAGTCTGCTTCCAGATCACAGCTGCAGATATGGTCAGTTAGTTCATTTTTTTCCCAGTTATACACAAAATAAAAAAAAATTCATACTTCTACAATGAGATTTTAAACTTAACTACAGTTTATTTGCCAATAAAACTACAGTAAAACTCATTGTCATGCTTATTCCATGTTTTTTTTTTCCCTCATAACCTAGCAAGTTGTAAATGCTTTCTTTATGAGGGTACTATAAGTGAACTGAGTAGAGTGCAGTTTGGTCCAAAAGCATATGCATGCTTTCAAACCAAAATTGCACCCATTTTTAAATCACAATACTTTATTTCCCAACTACATAACTTCAGTCAGTACATGTTTTGATTCAATCTTGCGCCACTTTGTTTTTGGGGAAAAGTTGCAAAATTTGCCACACTGTGGACCTTGTCTTTTATTTCCTTTGAACCCCTTGACCCCTCAGTGTCTTGAATCTTATTTCTCCTTACATTATCCTCCCTGAATTACACATTCAGGATAGGAGAAAAAAGGAAATGATTACTAATTCAAGAAGCTCCTAGTTTTTAAACAATTCATCCTTGAGAGCACCTCAGAAAATGTATAGAGAAAAGTATGGAGACTATGCATACTGATGTTAAACTGCAAAAGGTAAATTTGACCAGCAACTTTCAATAGGCCTCAAAATATTTTGGGTGAAATGAAAACTGACATTACCTGAACAGAAGTCATTATTAGCTAGAGGTGAAGAATTGTTTGTCGGTGACTGATTATCAGTCTGGTGTTCATCATTTTTGATTGGTCACTTTAAATTTGTGGGTAAAGACTGGCTGTTTTGTATCCTGCCTAAACTGCTTGCAGAGAGGTGGCAGTTAATGACATCAATTTTTGTGTCCATTCTATGTCAGTAAACTGGATCTCCAAAGTCAGTAGTTTGAAACATAAAGTGTTATCTGCCTGGTTGGTTAAATTGGGAAGAACTTAATCAATAATTTGAGAAAGGGTTTGGGGGCATTTCTTTCCAGTCTACTAACAAACTATTGGCGGTAAACCCTTTGATGAGAACCAGCAGCAATAATTGATGCCCTGAATTCAGAGAATATTTTTAATTTTTTACCTCTAAGTCCGGATAGAAATTCAAAAAAAGAACTACACCAGAGATGTGACATAGAGTAAATTCTTTTATTACAGGTAAAATTGCTATTTACAATGACGAGGTATAACTATTAATAACAAACAATAATTGAAGTATTCATCTTAACTATTGTGAACATATTCTTTCACATTTTCATAGTTTCTAGAACAAATCGTAGTGACCTCACTAGTTATTTTCACATACTGAAAGACTCTAAATTGGTTGAAAAGCATTGGGAGTATTTATACAATAAGCTATCAAGGGAAATTAACTATCTTAAGCCTTCATCAAATCATTTGGATGAACATTTGTAAATAAGTAAAATTCTTTCCATAAACTCTAGAAGCTAACTTAACTTATTTATAACTTCTATGGATTGAATTTCTTCCTTTTTCTTACAAAGAGGTTTCTTGGTTACAAGACCTCTGTAATCAATTCATTAATTCATTCTCAAATTGCCAAGGTCTGAAGAAAGATGAACAGCATTGAGTGAAACAACAGATGTGATTAACAAAGCATAACTCAGGAGTATAACACTAGACTGCTTTTAAGTACTATCCTAAAAGTTTGACCGGCTAACAGCTTCTACTTTTTGCAAATAAATAGTTTAATAATGAAATATTTAATTCATCATTATAAACAGTAAAATCTTCCCATACAGATCATAATTGAATAAAATGAGGAAATAATCAAGAAATCAAGAGAAAAAGTTAAGATTACTACTAAGGTAATCCAGTTCATTCATTCCTTATTGCTTCTCCTTTCAGACTCTTGTATTTGCTCTATCATTTTACGAGCATAGCTAAGTCGTTTGGCTATACTGGCACTACAGCCATGTTTTTCAATGCTCTTCAAAGGAAATGTCCTGAATCTTTTGCTCTCATCAATGTATGTCACTGCCCCCATTAGAGGACACACCATAATCTTGGTATGGTCCTTGAAAAAGTTGATCTGTGTAAAAACATAAAGAATTGATAATGTTACAATTAAAAAGTGTGAAGAGACAAAATACAGCTCCAACAATGAATATAAAATCTTGTGTATAAAAGTTTGTTACTATTTCTTACTGAGCTCAAAACTTACCATCTTCCTTATTCTATTTACAAACAAAATTAATGTTAATGTCCCATCAGCATTGAAATCCTTGACAGTTGCAGTTAGCACTAAGATGTTCTGCCAGAAAGCTACTGATGCAACAGATCTTGGGAGTTAATGGGTTCTATAAACTCTGCACTAAAGCTTCAAAATGACACACCACAATTTTAGGGAGTCGTAAAAGCAGCAATTTTTTGTGCAGCACCTCTTCAAGTAATACATCAGTACCAATAAATATATCTTGAAAGAATTTATGTATTCACCTGTAGAGTGCCATTAGTGAGATGCAATACAATGGCCTCTTTTGTACGGAACCACTGCTTCAAGAAAGGTAACCTTGCCGATTCATCTTCTTTGGCACCTTTGGTACCTGCACCAGCCTGAATACAAACAATTTAAATTTATTTAAAACTTATGACCATGGGCAATTCAATTTACTGTAAACACTGATGTACAAACTGCATCTTTTTTGGCAATAACCCAATTGTCACATAAATTCACCACATGCAGTTGTACTACAAGTTGAATGAAAGAGCTAGTTGTCAGCAGTCTTCATTGGTTGC